AACTAGCCTGTTGTCACTAACAAGAGAAATGTCAACTTAAGCTGGCTATTGAAGACGGTACATCATTGGAGCGTCTTCAAACGCTGATCCCAAACCTGAAATCTGATTTCCAAATTTTTTTACAGGCAGCTTCTGGATAAAGTTATGAGCGTTTAGACCGAATCGCTAAGCCTTCAGGGCACAAAATTAGCGAAATAAAGCTTTACAAAGATACCTATGCAATTTTCTCTGTTCCTTTTCTGTAGCCAATCTAGTTGACAAGCAGTTGATTCTTTCAGTATTTATTACAGCTTTTTGCTAATTGTATGCCACTTTTGACAAACTTTGACAAACTTCAAACGGTCTATCTTCTTCGGAGACTACTCCGCAGAAAAGGAAAGAATATCTGCAGTCAGCGTTTGATGCCGCCTCTACAAATGACATTTTATTAGGTCGTTCCGAAAGTAATGTCGCTTTTTTCCAATGAACGCCACATTTCATGGAATCAAGATTTTCGAGAAGTCTTAGAAGCATTCGATGCAGCATTTCATCCTCTTTCTAATAGTCACGATTGTGTTGCATAATATCCAATAAGCTTTCTAAAAATTACCAAAATTTGCGACTCATGCTTTTTGCCATGGTCAAGTTTGGCTATTTTTCTAAATTTTTGTACCTATTCTCAGAAGAAGTACAAGTGGCAGGTAGATAGAGCAAACCCTACAGGACCCAGAGTAATTTTTTCTTTTCCTTAGCTTGCTTCTTAGAGTTTCTGGAACCAATTTTTCAGTGGCATTAAATTCCATATCTGATCAACTCAAACCTCACAGAACAACAACCGGCAAGAATTCGGATGTCATTCGACGCAGCTTTTTATCCTCTTTCCACCAGTTGTTTTTTGTTTCTGATTTATCAAGTTTTCCGGGATAAAATCATCTCAATTCAGGTTTTCCAGGGCGCCCCAGGCTGTACCGGAAATTTTCGAAAGTTGCTAATCTGAAGCGGTGAATGCTCATTTGGTTTGCAAAATTAGTGTCAAACCATAATCCATCTTTGTAAGTTTCAAAATCCGAGAATTTATTGGTGTTTGATGCATTTATGTCAGGGGCGAGAATGCTAAAATTCGGTGATTCCATCAAAAAATCCATACAAAAATTATGACGAGCTCTGGAAAGAAGAAAAAATTTGTGCTGTTCCCTGTAGAGTTTGGTCTATCCGCCCATTACTTGAACTCCTTTTGTGGAATGTTTAAAAAAATTTAGAAAAATTTTGAAACTTAGCCCTCTTAAAAAGCATGGGTCGCAGATTTTGGTAATTTTTTAAAAGGTTATTGAATTTTGTGCAACAATTTTATAACCATTAGAAAGAGAATGAAATACTGCATCAAATGCTGCCAGAAACTCTTTATTTCACGAGATGTGCTGTTCGTTTGAAAAAAGCGACATTACTTTCAGAACGACCTAATATTAGGGTGAATGGCAAAAAATGGGACAGCATGATTTTTATTACATTTTGAAATTTTTTATTTCGATCAACAACAAGCAGGCTGCAACCTAAACGTCGTTTACATAAGCGCCTTCACCTTATTCTGGTAACGTGTTGACGCTCCTTTCCCACAACCCTGCGCGTGGCGTCATGAAGAACTCGAACAGTTTTTTTGAACAGCTCTCCTTACTCTTGCGCTGCTATACCGTAAAGTCATAAAGCAAGTGACATATCATTCAAAAGAGCCCTTCATGCTCCTTCAAACAAAAAACATTTAGGGTTCCTTTCTATTTCTGGACAAAAAAGCAAAACACTAAAATCGAGATTTTTTAGCGCAACAAAAACCAAAAAATCATGTTTCTACGTATATCTTCCGAGAATAGATGAAATCTGAGGTAAGTGGCATTTGAATGGATAAAGCGTAAAGAGCTTTACCAGATGGTATCCAGATAAGATTTTACTGACAAAGAAGTAGATAACACGCACTGCGTTCCAAAAATGCTAATGTCCAAATCTCCTGACTTTAGCCGTTGCTGTCAGCTAGCCATCACAGTGGCTGTACCTTTACCCATGGGGTACTTTGGATGATCTCACATGTTTCATTTGCAGATACTGCTCGCAGTTCATAATTTGTCGAAGTGACTAACTTTGCATTTCAGCAACTATAAAAACTATTAAGTACGTTGATGACCTTACATATATGGGCGTTGTTTGAAAAAGAATAATATATTACACCTATCAAAATTGGAAAGTTCATCATCACTTCTCTTTCTTGAGAAATCTACAGTCATTTTCTAGACGTCCCATTTTTTCACTGTTCATCCTAACAGATTCGCCAGTAACTTGTTATCTTTCCCTTATACGTTACACGGACGGCTAAGAGTTGTGCAAATACATAACAGAACGCAATACGGACAACTGCTATATCCGTTACTTCTATTTATCTTACAGAATAAACTATTATTATAATGATTCGATTCCAAAAAATGATGGAAACGATGTTTACTCCAGTCGATCACATTGAATATCAGTATTCAGGACTAGCTTGGAATATCCAGCCTTCGCTTGATTCATGTTGTCATGATCCCAGTATCACACATCTTTTTCCTGTTCCTGTTCCACTTCTCTGAGCCACTCCCACGCGCTCACTGTGTATTCGTAATCAGTTCGCCCACTTACCTCCTGGTATCATTAACTCCCTGCGCGCTCAAAGATTGCTATTTTTCGTTGAAATCGGGAAGAACTATTTTCGTGGTAGCACATGATGGGCAGATATGACCTACCCCTTTACTTGGATGTATTTCGCTACAACTCCCCGCTTTCCATTTCCTAAAATTACTGTTTGCTTTTCATCGTCAGGGCCTGTAGTACCCCCCCCCCCAAGTCATGACGACTTGCTCGGAGCACGGCAAATGCCTTTTTGCTGCCGCCCCATGATAAGCGATGGGCGACGTGATTGAGGCATATGCCCGGCGTAACGCCGCGGCAACGCGCCGGCACGACAAGGCAGCACCAGGTGCCTCATGCAGACAGTCGGGAAATAGTGAGTCTTGAGTAAAGACGCAGAGGTCTAGTGGTGCCGACACATGACTAACGATCGATGCATTTAAGAACAGCGGGCGGCACCACCACCTCCGCGGTGGTGGTGCCGCCCGCTGTTCTTAAATGCACACAAAGGGTCGAAATTGCACGCCAAAATTAATATGAACAGCTAATTTGCGCGCTTTCGGTCACACGCAATGCAACCACTTTTCACTAAAGCTTATCAGTTCTTTTTTATTAGAAAGCATTTGAATATAAGTTTTTCATAACTCCTAAGCGCTTTAAGCTTGATTTTCAAACGGTGGCAAATTTGCTCACTGGTTTTCTTCTGCATGCCTTCTTTCTACACTTTCTCGACTTATGCGGTCTTGACCAAATATTGTTTTTCCGCCATTCATTGGCTGTGTGCCGATTGTTTTCTTTCTATCCAAGTAAGGAAACAATCCAGCGCTGTGGCTGACAGAATGAAGTATATCTGCGCAGAAAATTGGTAATTTTTTTGCAGCTTCATTTCAACGCATTGTCAATGATTTATTTGCATTTATGCCCTTGACTTCACATTTTCTGGCAAAATGCCTCAACATGAAGGATTTGACTCTAGCGCAATATTGTGCAACCCTGCCGCTGCAGAGCCCTCACCTCATCTGATAAAAAACAAAAACACACATTCACTTGCTTTTTTCAACCGCTATCGCAGCTACGGCTGTTGTTCTCTTCAAAAAGTCAATCTGCTCCAATAAACAGTTGGTTCGAAAAGCTACCTCTCATGCATCTCAAATGAACATGATCCTCATTTGAAATGCATGAGAGGTAGCTAGCTTTTCGAACCAACTGTTTATTGGAGCAGATTGACTTCTTGAAGAAAACAACAGCCGTAGCTGCGATAGCGATTGAAAAAAAGCAAGTTAATGTGTATTTTTGGTTTTTATCAGACAGAGATGAAAGCCGTTTCAAGATGTGAGGTTAAGATGCGCACAATTCAGCAAGACTTCTGACAGGTACATAAAAAAATAATCTAATTACGGTGGTTTTTAAGGAAAATTTATGATAGTGTCAACCGGGTAGAGGAACAAACACGTCTATTAGGCACCGCCTCCGCGGTGGCCTTTGGCCTTTCCTACTGTTGGTCCTACTGTTGTACATCGTGTTAGGACCATCAGTCCGCGAAAGCGGTGCATAATAAAGGGTGAGTTCGTTCCTTCACTCCTGTAAACCATTTACAACCTTTTACTGCTATTAGAGACCCCAAAAATGAGGATTGAGATTTCTAATAATTTCGTAAAGTTGAATTTGACTTTGACACAGAAATAATAATGCTTTGCGAGAGCGTTGAAGGCGATTACGCGTTAGTCAATGGAAGCTTGCGATCACAAAAAAGTGTAGCCAGAAATAGAAGCTGGAGATTAAATGAGTTCTGGCGCTTTGAAGAAGATTGAGTCAGTCGCTGTCACTTTTAGGATACCCGCGAGGAATGTCAGGCTTTGCCGAAGGTTTGTATAGTGGAACGATATGAGCTGATGAACATGATTATAGGAAAAGCACCAACCGAATTATGTTTAATCGTTTTCAGGATGTGATCCAGTGATTCTACGGTAACCTCGAAAAGCTGTGGATAATCAACATGTCGAACAACATCTTTGGATTAAGTCAACCACAATCTATGACATTGCTTTCTTCGTGTATCCACCGCAACCTTTGCATGCAATAACAGAATGGCAGAACAGCAATGCTTCGTAGCTTAAAGCGTAATTTTAAATGAATGCACCATGTATGATTAATGACTACATAATATTGAGATCGAGCCTTTATGAAGACTGAGTTCAGACCGTCTACCAATCATAAATAATATGTCTTTCGTACGTTTGCGTGAGTTATTTTTTTGACAATTCAAAAAAATTGACGTAAGTTTCTGAAGAAAAATCTGATCTTTGGTCTCCTGGTATCTAACACTGTACACGCAATTGCCTCTCGGACCAAAAGTACATGTTCATTTATACCATGAATTTTATCTTTACAATTCAGCAATGTGTCGTCTAGCTAAAGCATTTCAAATACCAAGTTTTTGAAGTAATTCGTTAATAATTCTTGTGTATAACGGCCGTAGGAGCTCGAGACCGATAGGCGTTAGATGACTGCCGTCTAAGGTTCGTGCGAGGAAAGTTTTTGGGTCGTAAGTGAAAAAAATCTCATCATGAAATAGACCCTGAAAAGATAGTTTATGAAGATGCAATGAAAGTACAGATACAGTCTTGACAAAAGTAAAACCGAAAAGGCTGAAGTGATCAAGAATGTTGCCGATATTAAGTGTGTATATGTGTGTGTATGTTGTATATGCGCGCGATAGCACTCCCCTTCCCACCTCGATAGCACTCCCCTCCCCCCCCCCCTCCCCTACCTCTCGTATTGAGGAGGAGGGGAGGGGGGGGGGAGGGGAGTGCTATCAAGGTGGTTTCGATTTTGGCGATAACATGATATTCGTTAACATTGTCGGATAGACCAATTAGGCCGACCAGCACTGTGATTTTTAACTTACCACCGTATTTTAAATTAAGCATAATAAAAAAGCCATAAAGCGTAAGAGCATCATTTTCGTGATTAGCATATCAAATAATTTTTGTGAGCCAAGTGTCAGCAAATTCTGAGGTTTTCAATCTTGGTCTACTCAGGTAAGATGCTCATTTTTGAGCAGGTTACCTTTGCTTTTAAGGTAAGCTAACTACTTTTTTTGCACTTTTTAAAAGAACTACCACTTCTTTGCTCACCTTAGGAATTCCACGCAAAGAGCCTCTAAGCTGCGGGACTAAGAGCATCTCTCAAATCTCGTTTGTTCCATTTTTCGCTTTCATCTCAGATTGGGAAAAACCAATCGGGCTCAAAATACTTCTGTGTAAATTACGAACCTTAGACTATCAAACATACTTATTCTTGTCGTCTTCCCATTTGATTCACTTAGTAGCGCAAACTTAGCATGTCACCGTAACCCAATACTTTAGCAGTATCTTTCATTTGCTTAGGTTAACAAAGCTATATCTTCCTCTCGAGTGAACGATTGCAAATCAAGTTCCTATTCTGTGAAGTTAATGGAGGTGTGGCACAACCCTCATTAAGGTGTGACAGCCAAGCTTTTTGAAGGTTATGCTACACCCCACTAATTTACCTCCACGAGGATTTTAAGGAAGGAATTATATACAGTTTAACAGTCAAATCTCGTGGTTTTTGTAGAAGCGATTAGAGCTGAATTCGTCTTCTTTCCTTTAAGCAATAAATATTGGAAGCACAATCACTGTATAAGCTAAAACTGGGAGAAATGAGATTATGGCTGGCTCCTAATTCTATAGTTTGATGATTGTTCAGTTGGGTGGCACAATACTGGGAATCCCAAAATAGCTAAAACTCGGCCCTAGGGATTATTTTTCATGATAATCACAAATATGTTACTGACCATGCTCGAAAGAGCCTTTACGTCATGATAAGCTAATGAAAATGCGTAGAGGGGGAAGTATCGAGGCAGAATTTGGGAGAGGTCGTATTCAGCGGTTGTTGCCACACCTCTTGCTCGACCTTGACCACATCGTTCCAAAATAGTTTTTGCTCTGAGGAAAATTCTACAGTTTCCATCCATAATGTCATTCTAACACTCGCGCTCACATTTTGGCGACAATGATCAAATTCAAGCAGATCAAGTGCTCTTGCTACCAAAAACGATTTTTGCAGATTTCATCAAATTTTGACAGAAAAGCAGAAGGTACTAAGTTGTTCCGAAAGTTCTGTCCGATTTCAGATTTTCTGGTTGAAGATGTTATAACTTCTTTCAAAACAAAATTTTTTGCACAACCTAACTTTTGCGGGTTGACCGGTTTATGGCCATAAGCACAGTATGACATGTGAAGAAGGCAAGCGTGCGAAAAGAAAAATTTTGAAGAAATTGCAAGGTCACTTTCAAAACCATCTACTTTGACCACTAATTCCCGCGTAAAAATATGCGGACATATTTGGCTGTCACCATATTTAGTAGCCTTTACTTTAGAGATTAACTTATGGCTAAAGAGAATTCAAGTTGTCTCTGATAGGAATTTTTATAACCGCCTTCTTTGCGCGCGCAAGTATGCCGACTTTCTGATATCTGATTTTTTTTCTCCGTCGCAAACGAAGGTTAATTGGCTGGTGGTCTCTGCTTGCTCTCGCTTTACTCTAACATACGCAATATTAAATTCATCACTTACCGCTATACGTAGATTGTTGTCGCTCGTTGCATAACTGAGTCTGTCTGCCATTTATGAAAATAAATGTCAAAAGTAAGACCTTCTCGAAGTCGAAGGAAAAGTGTGCTTATGTTAGAACATTATGCCCTTGCCATTATATTTGGGGGAATTCGTTAGTCGAATAAACGATATTGTGTAAACTTTCATCCCGAATAAAGTCGGAGAATCAAAAATACCGAATGAATGAACATCGATTATATTCGAACACTAGTTAGCAAACCCGGCTCCGCCCGGCCCTGTCAATAACATATTTGTAATCAGCATGTACGATTACCCCCCTGTGCCAACTCTCAGCCCCGTAGCTCGAATTTTGCAAAAAAATCGATAAAATCTATGTTGATCGATAACGAAAAGTAGCTTAGGACACCCGCCGGGGCCCGAAGTGTATGTGTGCCAAGTTTGGTCCGGATCGGTTCAGAAATGGAATATTCTATTCGGAACATACGTACATACATACAGACAGACAGACAGACAAACAGACATTCAGCTTTATATATAAGATTGGGAGTTGAATTTCAAATAAATATTCGAATGATTTATCGAACGGCTAAAGGGATCATATCTAAAACATGCTGGCATATCCTCCTCAAAGCTGATTCTCATCATCAGGACCATAGTTGCGATAGAGGGAGTAATGGATCTTACCCCCTTCGCTTTGAGGCCAAACTCCCGATGACCCCCTTCACCTGGGCTGAGATTGGTATTGTACTCTGAGAATATGATAAAAATCGTTATTAAAAGGTTTTGCAGGCTAAGTATCTCAAACAACAAGTACACTCATAATTTACAAAAGAAACGGTACTTATGTTTATTTGTATTATTTATTTATCCTCGTAGCATTCATTTGGAGACAGAAAGTGAGGACACAAAATCAGTTAATTTTTGAAGCACATAAAATCCCTCATATCTCGCGGCACAGAAGACCTAGAAAAAAGTCGACGGTCTACGTCGATTCTCCATGATCTCAGCTTTCGAATGGTGTACAGCTTGTTAGGGCTTCTTTGCTTTCCGGCTCTAAAAATCATTTGCTCCGGTAACCGATAAAAGCCAATACATTGGTGGAGCTGGGTGGAGCAAGCTAATAGTAAATATCTCCACCCCATTTTTGAAAACTGGTTAGTTTTTTCGCCCAGGAACTTATACACCATTCGAAAGCTCAGAAAAAGGGGATTCGACCTAGACCGTCGAATTCTTTCTAGCCCCCCTCTACCGAGAGATACACCGCATTTTATCTGAAAACATGGTCATTTTCAACAGCAGATTTCTGCCAAATGAAGACCTAATCACTGCTGATTATTTATCTGTGTTAAAGAGCAAGTCTTCATTAACAAACGTAGACCGTCGACTTTCTCGTAGAATTCATTTGGAGAGCAGAAAGTGAGGACACAAAATTAGTTAATTTTTGAAGCACATAAAATCCCTCATATCTCGCGGCACAGAAGATCTAGAAAAAAGTCGACGGTCTATATCGATTTTCCATGATCTCAGCTTTCGAATGGTATACACCTTGTTAGAGCTTCTTTGCTTCTCGGCTCTAAAAATCATTTGCTCCGGTAACCGATAAAAGCCAATACATTGGTGGAGCTGGGTGGAGCAAGCTAATAGTAAAAAATGTGCTGTGGATTGACATCGTTATCAGCACCAACGGGAACGCGAGCGAACGCGTCTATTTAAGCGTGCCTATCGTTGTTATATGTTTATGTTTTTTTCAGTAAAAAAATGCGCTTTCGATTGACAGTTGTGCCATCATTATCAGCACATACTCAAAAAAACTATGGGAGATTGGTGAATTTCCACACCTTCACACAAAAACCCGCCCATTTCTGGAATCTATACTCTGTAAAACTAATGCTGAAGAAGGTCACGTTCGTGAACACGCTCTAGACTCACCTAATTGTAGAGAATGGTTGGTTTCAATAAATCAAAAACTTTGAGGCATTCAGAAGAACAACATGTTAATAAAATATCCTTCAAAGTTTTGGAAAGGTTGGCAGTTTAAAGAAGAAGCGGCAGGCAGAATACGCAATACAAAATCGCAGATGACTCGGATGTGTTCCAGTTCAACAGCGAGGCAGAAGGAGAATTTTACGCCGACGAAAATGTTGTCGACATTGATACAGAGTTGACAATTGAGCGAAACTCTCTATTTCGTACATCAGAAATCCAAGCAGATTGCCTAGTCTCAATGAATAAATGTCCAAGAAGTCCATTGCTGATCTTCAGGTTGCTGAAGATTTCAAGGCTGCTAAGTCCACGAACATGGATATGAACAAAAGGAAGGTGTTAGTACAAAGCATAGTTACTGCGCTTAGATCCCGGCTGGAGTGCGAACCCAACTCTGTGCTTTATGCTTTTGAAAGTTATTCGCCTTGTGACAATATGACCTATGATATTGAAAGAAACCAACGCGCAGCATAGTACCTCCTTTTTCGGCTATTCCGCAGATGATGTTAAAGAAGAAGTTGAGCGGCTTTCTCGTCAGCTAACAAGACGTGAGCCAGAGGAGATGAAGCCAGAATTCGACAAGACCCAAAAAAGTATGCAATATTTACTTCCCGTGTTGCGAAAGCATATGCGATCTGGCTCTTTCCCCATTACTTACCGCAAAAATCTGATGGGCTTGCTAGCAAAGCTAGTTCCCATTCCGACTAGCACGGCAGAGGTGGAGAGGCGATTTTCTATCTACTCTGTTATCAGAACGCAACGCAGAACTCGTACAACGGTGGAGCATCTAAGCAATTACTTAAGATTTGTCAACCTTCTACTGAACATATTGTTATCTAAAAACTTCATTTAAAGGATTGCTATAAATGGTCCAGACAGGCTGTCATCGTATGACTTTTTGAAATGTCCTATAAGATGGTATGAAGAAACTGTTCAGCTACCTGCTGACTTCCTGGTGCTACCAGAGGGCCAGGAAAAAAACACAAAAGCGCTAGAA